AAGACACCTTTTTAGGATCACTGAGATGTCCAGAACTAAGGTTGAGAAGCTGAGTACAATGCATCAATGCATGTGCCAAATCAGGAACCCAATTTTACAACATGTGAGATGCAACCTCCACAGCATCCCCCCGGGTGGGGGGAACGGGGCAGAAATGCTGGCTAAATGGGGCTGCTGTGACTTGCAGGTTACTTCAGACAAGTTCATGTTTCAAAATTTATGACCAGGGCTGAAAAGTAATCTTTTACAGTCCATTGTTTGTGAAAGACTTGTTTCTTTGGTGGCTGCTCACCACCACTCAGCTGAAATCTGGAAATAAGCTGTTACTTCCCTCAGGCAGTGCTTTCGCCTGAGTAGTCAGCTTTCCTGCTATGGGCTCAACACAGAATGTTGCTCCAAATTTTTAAGGCAAAAAATAGTCTGAGGAAGTGCTCTGGACCATTAAGAAAGACCATGAAAATGTCTTTTCATAGAATCACGGAATCACAGAATCATAGAATAATAGAATCATAGGAACATAGAAACATGGAATCATAGCACAGCAGAATCACAGAATCATAGAAACAGAAACATAGAATCACAGAATCATAGAATGGGCTGGGATGGAAGGGACCTCAAAGATCATCCAGTTCCAACCCCCCTGCCATGGGCAGGGATGTCACCCACCAGATCAGGTTGCCCAGGGCCCCATCCAGCCTGGCCTTGAACACCTCCAGGGATGGGGCATCCACAGCTCCTCTGGGCCACCTGTGCCAGTGCCTCACCACCCTCTGAGTGAAAAATTTCTTTCTAAACTCTAATCTAAATCTGCCCTCTTTCAGTTTAAAAGCATTCCCCCTTGTCCTATCATTATCTACCTGAATACAGAGTCCTTCTCCATCCTATTAGACCTCTTTAAGTATTTAAAAGCTTCAGTTAGATCACCCTGGAGCCTTTTCTTCTGTAAGCTGAACAGCCTCAGCTCTCTCAGCCTGTCTTCGTAGGAGAGGTGCTCCAGCCCCTTGATCATCTTTGTGGCCCTTTTGCTGCTTTGTCTTCATTTTTTCGTTCACCCACGAATGAAGCCTGCAAAACTATTTTTTATTCTGGCAGGAGAAGCTTGAAGGTAATACAAACCCTCCAGAGAAAAATTCTGGAGACGAGAAGAGTCTGAGAACTGTGGGTAGGATCATTAATTTAATGTTAGACACAGTCTGCATGGAAGCTGTGAGAAGCAGAAGCTAGACAAATTCAGAATAGAAAAAAGGAAGATACTGGAAGACAACTAAGGGAATACAGCACTTAAATTTTCAAAATAGGGAGTGAAACAATAGCTTAACCCCAGGTGTTGCTGCTGGCACTGCTGGCTGAAAAGGTTCTTCAGGACAGAAGTGTTGGCCTGAATGTTTGTGAATCAGGATATTTTGGAGGCTGAAGTAGGGTCTAAATCCCTTTTTAATTACTGTACTTTATTGCACTGCACCGAGCTCTTGTGTTTGAGTAACCAGCAGCTGCAGGAGCCAGTTGTGACTCCCGATTTGCACAGAGAACAGGGCAGCTGACCAGCGGCTGCTTTCTCTGACCTGTAGACCCACAGACTGTCAGAGACACAGCCCAACCTTTCAGACCACCTTCTCTTGCAAAACAGAGACCTCCACTCTTGCAAACATAGCTGTGGACTCTGGGGTGGTGCAAGCCCCAGTTTAACACCCCCACATCGCAGACTCAGGTGATGGTTCAGGTACCTAAAGACAGGTGCCGAGAGCCATCTGAGACCCCCAGTGCCTACTCAGCCTCTATTCCCTTCACACCCAGCAGGGTGAGGGTCTCCTGTGAGCCCGGGGTGATGGTCTGCCTCTGCCATGTGGATGCTTGGGTACCTAGGGGCATCTCGAGTGGCTGTAGACACCCAAGTAAGGGGCAGTGGAATGGCACCCTGAGGGTCTGAGCCCCTGTAGCAGTTGGAGAAGAGCTACAGCATGGGTCCTACGGAGTAACTCACTCCCTGAATGTAGGGCCCTGCCCTAGGGTGAGTGGAAATTCTCTACGGGATCTGCTGACCACAGGGGCTGTAGTCAGTGATCGGGCAGTAAGCATTCATGCAGGCAAGTGCATCTGGACACCTACCTCTAGGCACTTACGTGTGTTTGAATCCGGAGCTGGGTCCCCAGCTGCATATATCCAAGGGAAGAATAACTTAGCTTCCAGAAGGTCTTTCCCACAGCCAGTGCCTGTTTCAATATAATTATCAGTATGTTTCAGTGTTATTATCAGTACTTCAGCAGTACTGAAGACCCCTGATCACTGGGGATCCTTGGCTTGGAGCACAGAAGAATTTGCAGCCTAAGCAAAGGTTTCTGATCTGGGTCTGATGAGACGGATAAGCTCTGGTAGGACTGTCACCTGGAAGGTGGCAGCGGTACAGCTCCGTGAATTGCAAAGTGCAGAAAGGCTGGAGTATTATTCTGTCCTTTGGAAGTCACCTAAGGGACACCAGATGGAGGCTGGGCTGTCTGTCCTGTGAGAAGATGGAAATTTTCAAGGCTGCTTCAGCTTCAAGCATTAGCTCCCTCTTTTTGTGTCATACTCTTGGAGTTGTGGAGTCATGGCAGTCTCCAGAGCCTGCCGGGGCCCACGGGACCAACGCACAGAAAGTAACCGAGGAGTCCACAAGTGGAGAAAAATACCTTTGGTTTGCCACAGAGCAAGGTGATTTGTGAACTCCGGGTTTCCATTCTTCTCTCTGCCCAGAACCACAACAGCAACTTCTACATCTGCTGAATCCCCAGGAAGAGTTTGTGCGAGGATCTGTGCAGGGAGGTGGGATCTGACAGAGGTCCTGAGCCCTGGCTGCAGCATGCAGGCTGTAGGTGGGGAATGATGCTTACTGATCATAAATAACGACCTGATGGCAAACCTCCAGCAGGCATAGGGCCAGCCTGTCTATGAGGATCATTAATGGGATGATGGCTTATTAGGGAATAATTCTTTATTAAATTTTTAGCTTATTTTCCAAAAAAACACTCTGGGGGGAGTGCAGATAAGAACCAACGCGTGACCAGAAGTGGAGTACAATTAGAAAACCATTCTGAAGTGGAGCTGTCCTGTATTTCCCTGTCAGCCATATATTTTCCCAGCTGGTTTAGGGCAAACAGGTACACTTATTTTACCCTGGTGACTGGGCTGTGGTAGGGCCGTGTAAGCACAGCACCGAGAGGAAGGGTGGAACAGTTGCAGAGAGCTCCCATCCTTGCTCTGTCCCACCGAAATTCCCTGCTGTTTGGTCCTCTCTTCCCATCCCCCAAATCTGATAGGGGGGAACAGAACAAGATCTGTTCTGCATGAGGAAAGTGAGATGGGGCAGGAAATGAAGACATGAACATTTGCGATGTGTGGGGAATATCATTCCTATGTTTTTTACCAGAAAGGGGAGATTCTCCTGAAGTGGGGCTTTTGTTCTGCAGATGCATTCACTGCCCTGAGAGCACTCTGTCCTCCCCCTCTCTGTCCTATCTCCATCTCCACAAAGAGCACGGTCCCAGCAGGATGTGTGTCTGTGCTCGAGGTGTGGGATGGAGATCACAGAATCACAGAATCACGGAATGGTTTGGGTTGGAAGGGGCCTTAAAGATCACCTCATTCCAACCCCCTGGGCAGGGACACCTCCCACCAGACCGGGTTGCTCAGAGCTCCATCCAACCTGGCCTTGAACACTTCCAGGGATGGGGCATCCACACCCACTGGGCAACCTGTGCCAGTGCCTCACCACTCATAGTGAAGAGTTTCTTCCTTGTATCTAATCTAAAACCACCCTCTTTTAGTTTAAAACCTTTACCCCTTGACAGAGTCCCCCTCCAGCTTTCCTGTAGTTCCCTTTAGCTATTAGAAGTTTGTTACGAGGTCTTCTCCAGGCTGAACCACCCCAAATCCCTCAGCCTGTGTAGGAGAGGTGCTCCAGCCCACTAAGCATCCTCGTGGCCTCCTTTAGAACTTGTCCTAATACATCCATGTCATTCTCGTGCTGGGGTCCCAGAGCTGAACGCAGGCTCCAGGTGGGGTCCCAGGAGAGCAGAGCAGAGGGGCACAATCCCCCCTCTCATCCTGCTGCCACGCTGCTGCTGGTGCAGCCCGGGATGTGGTTGGTTTTCTGGGCTGCAGGTGCCCTCCTGAGACTAATTTTGTCTAAGTTTACTTCAGCTTCAAAGTCAGGTGTTGCCACTGAACCCCCCCCAAGCAAAGCAGGCATAGCGAAAGGGCTCAGCAGGGTCCCTCACTGGAGGGGATGGGAAGAGCTGCAAGAAGCCTGGTTGGTGCCCTCAGGGAAGGGGAAAGTCGGGTGATATCCACAGCAGGATGCTGCTGGGAGCACCCTACCTGTGCAGCACCAGGAGACATCAGTGGGGGCAGACCCTTTAACTGGAAAATAACCCCAGCCTGGCAGGCTGGACAGTGCACATTGTGCCTCGGCCCAGGGCTGCAAGAAGTTGGATTAGAAAAGCCTGGTCTCCGAGTTATGCAGGAGGATCAGTGGTGTGTTTGAGTTGTTGGTATCTGCTGATTGTCCTGTTGGGGGTGTGTGATATGACCTGTGACTGTAGCCAGTCCAGAGGGCAGCAGGCTACAGTGGGTCAGGAGACACTGAGAAGAACCACGACCACAGCCACCAGCTTGAGTTTGGTGGTTACCACAGCTCTCTGCAATGCTTTGTTTTCCCCTCTAGTTTGGGCAGGATCTGTGCAGACTTCCTCAGACTCTCAGTTACTAACCCTTCTCTGGCCCTCCCCTCCTCTGCAGAAATCATCTGGCCAGGAAAACAGTTTACAAAACACTTCTAAAACTTTACTAGAGAGACCAGGTGGATAGAAGCACCTCCACTTTGTCAGTGGTCAGACCCTGTGCCCGGATACAGAGCGCAGCTGATTACTCACAATGGATTTCTGTGCATAGCTCATCGTGTCACTAAGACAGGACAGGCAAAAACCTGTGAAGTGGTAATACACTTTCATAATAAGAGCGACTGAGTGGTTTCCCAACTGCTGTGAAGGGGGCATTTACCTGGAAGGTCCATGAAAAATGAGTTATGCTATTGCACGGATCCCACAGGGGTTCCCCTGACCCCAATATGAAATATGCCCTGCTGAGACCCTGCCTAGGCTGCTGAACCTTTAGGGTTTATGGGTTGAACTTCTGATCTGTCTTGTTGGGCTTAACAAACCATGAGCACACCCATCAGGCTCCTTCACAATTCTGAATTTGCCCCTTATCATTGTCATTCTAGGAGAAATACAAAGTCCCTGCCAGGGATTTCTGTGTCTCGATTTCCATGGGATGAAAGAGTAAGAAGAGACGTGCTGGAAGTCCATATGTGGTGTCAGGAAGTGAGTATTCACCATAGTTAAAACCAGGTATATGTTTGCTGAGGAGGAGGAGCACAGCCCTGTTCTCTGCTTCCTTACTTTAATCCATACTCCTGCTCCTCACCCTCAGTGCCAGGTCTCCCTCCTGCAGCAGCCCTGATGCTTTCTTGTGTTTGTGGCCCTTCACCTCAGGGAATCTGCACTAAGTGAAGGAGACTTGTTCAGCTGAACTCTGCAGCTGCTCTGCACATCCCATTGCAAACAATTCCTGCTCTTTCTAAGGCAGCGCAGCACCTGAGGGGTGAGGAAGTGATGAATTATCCTCATGGCAGCACAGGATGAGCAGAATTACAAGATCTCCAAAGGGGAGAGCTAGTTTGCTAAAGTGTCATATGCATGGGTATAGGATCTCACAGGAATTCAGGGGCAAAGACTTATGGAAAAATGGCACTTTCCAAAATCCCTGTAACGGTATTACAGATACTTAAATGTTTTAGAAAGAGACAGAACATCAAAAAATAGGGAGTCCCATTAAAATATTGGTAAAAAAAAAATGTAGAACATTTCAGAACCGATACTGTTTTGGAAAGAAAGGAATAAAACCTTATATAACACCACAAGGTTTCAGTGTGACTTATAGGCCCTGTTCTCAAGTGAGCTGAGTTTTTGTTACTGCTGCAAATGCTTCAATAAATGTTTAAGACAGGACTGGGAGGAAAAGGCTTATTGCTTAGGGCCGATATCTGGATGAGTGTGTGTGTAAATGTGCATATGCACACAACACCTGTGAACACACACACCCTACATAGCCAGGCACCAGGATCAGGCAGTTGCTAAAGACTAGCATCAATAAATGGAGAATTACAGATCAGGTGGAAAAGGTACACGTGGAAAGATGAACCCATTAACAGCCTTTCATTTCCAAAGTGGTAACAATCTTTTATCAAGAACTGTCATTAAGAGGGAAGTCACGAGGTGACACAGGGGAGGACCAATGGTTCGGATACATTTATAAACCATTTGTCTTTCTGTTCTGAACAGGAATGTAGAATTGACTTCCTAAAGATAATCGGTTTCACCAGTGAAACTTTTCATGGTGCCTCTGGCTTTTAGGGTTTGGCCGAGACAATGAAGAGATCACCCTGCTTTTCTAGTAGACCACTTTTTAAGATTTTATTTGCATCCTCCCTTCCCTCCCCCAGCACTGCCATTGTCCTCTGGTGTGGTCCCCATTCCTTCCCACGTGGTGTTAGCAATGGGTTTGGATCAGGACACAGGCTGGATCTCCTTCTGCCGGAGCAGGCTCAGCACCCGCTCCCGGATCGCCTTGGTCCTCATCCCATAGATGAGTGGGTTGAGCATGGGAGGCACCAGCAGGTAGAGGTCAGCCATCAGGATGTGGAGGTGTACAGGGATGCTCTGGCCCCAGCGTTGAACACAGAAGGAGAAGAACCCAGGCACGTAGAAGAGCAGAATGACTCCAATGTGGGAACCACAGGTGAAGAAGGACTTCAGGCGAGCCTCTCTGGAGGAGAGGCCTAAAACCGCCCTCAGGATCAGCGCATAGGAGACGGTGATGAGGGTGATGTCCAAGCCCACTATGAAGATGGCAGATGTCATCCCATAGATGCTGTTGGGCCGGGTGTCCCCGCAGGCCAGCTTCACCACTGACATGTGCTCGCAGTAGGAGTGGGGAATGACACGAGTGCCACAGTAGGACAGGCTGCTCACCATGCACGTCAGAGGGGTCATGAGCCCAATGCCACGCACGGCAGCGGCCAGGCACAGCTTGGCAATGGTGCGGCCGGTCAGGATGGCAGAGTAGTGCAGGGGCCTGCAGATGGCCAAGTAACGGTCGAAGGCCATGGCAAGCAGGATCCCTGACTCCACCGCAGAGAAGCCGTGGATGAAGAACATCTGAACCACACAGCCCTCAAAGATGATCTCGTGGGTTTGGAACCAGAAGATGCTCAGGAGCTTGGGCATGGTGGAAGTGACGAGCACCAGGTCAATGGCAGCCAGCATGGAGAAAAAGTAAAACAAGGGCTGATGGAGGCTGGAGTCTGCCCTAATCACCATGAGGACTGTGAAGTTCCCCAGCACTGCCATGATGTACATGATGCAGAATGGGAAGGCGATCCAGAACTGAGCAGCCTCCAGCCCGGGGATGCCTGTTAGGATGAAGGGTAAGGGACTGGAGTGGTTTGAGTAGGACATGGTGCACAGCTGCACAGCTGGAAGGGAAGCCACAGGAACATCTGGCACAGAGGAGAGAAGGAAGACCTGGAGCAAAGCTCCCCTGTGAACTCCAGCCACAGGCAGAACACGCCTGCCTGTCTTCTTGGGCACATGGGCTGGTGATCATATCCTCCTGCCTCTTATCCAGGTACCCTCAGCCCCGTCATCTGCAAAATGCAAAAACACATGGTCTTAGTCCCAACATTTGGCAGTTACCTGACCCCTCCTGCCATCCTGTGCTGGTCTTTGGCTGTTGTCCCCTCCCTTCCCATCCATAGTTTGGGAGTTATGAGCTAGATGTCAAATCCTTTCAGTTGCCTTTGGTACAAGAATCTAAGACAGGGAAAATCTAGAATACTCTGAAGATGCAGCTCAGCAGGACTTGTCACCCACACACTTTTGCAGGTTGTAAACCACATCTCCTTCTGGGTTGTTGTGCCCCATATGACTCCCACCTTGGGAAACTGCAACAGATGTGCATTTGCACTACCAGTGTTTGTTCCCCAGAGCACTTTTGCTCAGACCAGCACTGTCAGCTTTGGGGCTGTCCTTGCTGGAGCCAGAGCTCTGAGCAGCCTTGCTGTGGTCCCGCTCAGAATGGGCGTCCCTTCTACAGGGTCCCTGTCTCCTCAATTAGGAAGGAAAGCCAGCACCATGAAGGCAATCTGTTGCAAAGTGGCCTGAGGCTGCAGTGCTAGCATCAACCAGCATCAACCTTCACATGCAACGCTTTCCTCTTCAAGCCCTTGCTAAAGGAAAGACATGCTGTGAAACTTCTCTGTTTGTCAGGGGAGACAGAGGCACAGAAGGGTTAAATCAGCCAGATGGGGATCAGATGCAAGTGACTGCACCTGAATGGAATCAGATGCAAGTTCCTCAGGCACTTGTACCTTCTGTTTTCCCCAGCATACCATAGATTCAGACTTCATCTCCTTGGCTTTTCAGACATTTGACTTCCCTAATCCCTAAATAGTTTCATCTCTCTGCCAAACTGCTTTGAGCCCTCCACATGACACAAACCAACCAGCATCTGTCTGTTTCCAGTCACTGCTATTTGCAATGTAAGACCAGATACTGAGAAGCCAATATTGTGAGAATGCTGCCATGATAATATTATTCATAATAGTTTATTGCAGAGAAGACTCTGCTTGCCATGTAGTCAGCTACCTAGGCCATGAATTCAGGAGGCAGAGCCACAGCTGGCATGAGCTCTGCTTGGAAAAAGCACATACTTATTCCCTCTTTTCACTCAAAGGTAATTAATCTGAAAATCCTGTGTGTTGTTCTGGGCAGTGTTACTTGTATAACAAAGCTCTCCAGATCATTAAATATGCCATTAAGCAAGCATCAGACTCAGTTTTTCCCAGGAGTTGGTGCTTTAGTTTACCTTTGTCAGGTGCGTTTGCAGTCCTGTTCTCTTCATGTGATTTGATTTCTTGATTACACGTAAACACTCAAAGTACCAAGGAAGCAATGCCTTACCTTTAGCTCCGTCTGACCAGCCCCATCTGTGCCATGCAAAGAAACCGTCCTGACAGCACTTCGGTGTCATCTGTCTTACACCTGACCTCTACATTTCACGCTTCCTCCTCTTGACAAGCTGGCAGCCACGGTGCCTCACGTTGTGCCTCAAAACCCTGACCAGGGACATCGGGACAGGGCTCTCGTGCCATGTTCCAGCCCTGCTCAGAGCACCACACCTGGAGTAGCTGTTCCTTCATCTCCTCAGCTCCAACTCAGCCTTGCACAGACTCTTTCACTACCGCCAGCTGCCAAGAATGACTGCAGTTGCAGCCAGTATGGAAATGCCACATTAGGGAGATATTGCTGTCCTTTTGGCTATTTTTGAGTTGTACATGCAGCAGTGGTAATGGGAGCAGCAATTTTGAGACTTGTTGCTGCTCAAGTGGAACAACACTTTCTGGTCTGTTGGCACACTTCTGAGCATTTGCCTTGTGCCTTATTGAACTGAAAAGCTGATAGGGTCTTATTTCATGCAATTAGGTGGTTCAGTTATTTTTAAGTGTCAACTTTTGTTCATTTCATAGTCCAGCACATTTTCTATAAATGGGGAACATTACCTGTCAGCCTTACCTGGTTTGCTGTACTCTATAAGACTTCTTGCAAACTTACTGTATTTGTTTTTAAACAGTCAAACATTAAAATGCCCTTAGAGAATGAGATGTTCAGTATTGAACAAATCACAGCAGGAGTTGCAATGTTTGACTGTTAGCATACTGTCAGAGCTTTCCCGACCTTGTAAAGAGAGAATAGATCCTGGTACCTGAAGTTGAGATTTTAACTCTATCCTCACTCATTTTTGTCAGCTCTGCTCCTCTGCTGCTAAGCAATGATCATTAAATTTACCAGATTTATTGGACTTAACATTTCTGTATGGTTGTCAGACACAGCTTGTCTGTCAGCCATGCAGTCTGAGTCTATGTAAAACTTATAGGCAACTCCTTTTGTATTAACAGCCACCCAGCTTTCCTGATCAGCTTACAGCCTGTTACGAATCAAAGACCTCTTGAACTTGGGGTTTTAAGAGACCTAGAGGAATCATCCAGTCCATATCGTGTCCCCACTATAAGACCAAAAGTCATCTCTGATAGAAAAACATAAAACCTTATCTTCCACTGCAGAAACTCTTCACCTTCCCCAAACCATCTGTTTCAGAACTTTTTTTCTAGTGTCAAGCCAGTACCTCCCCAGAGCTCATGACTTTTGTCCTTTCCATAAGGGAGGAGAACAAATTATTACCTTCCTGCTGGTGTTTGACATCCTCTTCGGGTTTGCACAGGTGAAAAAGACAGGACTAGAGATATGATCAGATAATTGCAGATCTTCACAGATGACTGGATCACCAGATGTTACACCTATGTGTCTACAGTTTGTTTGAAGTTGGCTTAACCAATGAATAGTTTGCAGCCAAATAATTAGCACTATTGTAATGAACCCATGCAAGAAGGTAAATTGAGGTTGCAGATATATAACTGACAGTTTTCCAACACAATATTCACTTAAAGTAGGATATCTGGAAGTAATGAAGTAGATCATTAACCCAGTAAGAGACAAAGTCCACTTATATGTATTGGCATATCTGCAAGGTAGCTTTTAGGTTAGATTCGTTTATATTCACCTCAATTTGGCTAAGATTTGAACTTGTCTCAGAGCTTGGCACTATGCTTAAAAATACTGGTATAGTCCCAGGTTAAATGAAAAAAAATTCCTCCCAGCTCAACTGGATACCCTGGACATGACCCTGTCTCTACGTACATCACCCTCAAATACTGCTTTTGCTTCACACGACTAAGCAAGTCTTCAGCCTTCCAAAAGGACTTGTATGCAAATATTTATGCATCTTAAGGGAACTGATCACTTTAATCACCCACTGCTGGGTCTTAAGAGAATGCAGTCATCACAAAGAAGCTGCTGCCTGGGAATAGACAGGAATAGCAATGGTTTGTAAACAAATGCACTCCTCTTTCCTGCTGCTTGGGTTATCTCTGTCTTGCTGTTAAACAATGCAGAACAGCTTTTTGAGAGAGTGTTCTACAAAGAGGGAACTTTTTTAACTTTGCGTGGGCAAATACCACACTGTGAGGACTAATTCTTCTAGTACACACAGCGGTGCATGTGTCCTTCAGGTGTATCTTGGTGCTGTAAAACTATCTGGGATTGAATCTAGCATCACTGCATTCCTTTGGGGGCACAAGATGGCAGCATGGATTCTTAGAGCTCTATTTTGACACCACCTATCATCAGAGGATCCTGAAGCATTCATGAATCATAGAATCACAGAATTATTAAATGGTTTGGGTTGGGTTGGACCTTACAAGGCCACCCAGCCTCCCCCTGGCCTTGGGCACTGCCAGGGCTGGGGCACCCCCAGCTTCTGGGGACAGCCTGGGCCAGGGCCTCACCACCCTCAGAGGGAACTTATCCCTAATTTCTAATATAAATCTACCCTCTTTTAGCTTAAAGTCATTCCCCCTTGTCCTATCTCTACATTCCCTGACAAAGAGTCCCTCGGCAGCTTGGCTGGGTACCTTGCAGTACCCTTTAGGTACTGCAAGGCCACTGTAAGGTCTCTTCAGAGCCTTCTTTCTGGGAAGAGCAACCCCAACTCCCTCAGCCTGTCTTCACAGGAGAGGTGCTCTGGCCCTCTATGCATCCTCGTGGCCTTCTCTGGACTTGTTCTTCCATGTCCTTCTAGTGCTGGGCCCCAGAGCTGAACACAGTACTGCAGGTGGAGTCTCATGACTGTAGAGAGGGAGAATCACCTCCTTCAACTTCTTTTGATGCAGCCCAGGATACGGTTGGCTTTCTGGCTGCAAGTCCTCCTTGTCTGGAATCCATTCTCCGGCTGTGACTGTGCCTCTTGCACAGCTTGCAGAGACCCCCAGAGCAACCCTGGAGAATCAGGAATGCCACAGGATGAGCTTATCTGAACTGCACCAGCCTTGTGGTGCTGAACACTGGTCATCATCTTTTTTACTTGGTATCCCTTCACTCTCTTTTTGATAAGCTACACAGACTGACTTGCCATGATGTACTAGCAAGCAGAGTAATAAGTCAACTTTACACATTAGAGGGGAGTTGCAGTGAAAGTGGCACAATCTGTGTATGTTTTGCAATGTCTAATTAAGCTTTCTATTATTTTTTGAAAAGAAAGACACTTAGGTATAGTTTTCAAATGATACTTCTTGATATCAACCTCCCCACTTTCAACAGCACTACTCCATCCATGTTTGCCTTGACTGGCATCCCTGGGCTGGAAGGTATGTACCCTTGAATTTCCGTCCCAATCAGCACACTGTTCACCATATCCCTCCTTGATAAAGATGGAGCTGTATTTCCACAAGCCCATGTTTTATTTCCTCTCCATGTTAGCCTTCATTAACTTAGTGTTGTTCCTGACCACTGTGCTCAAAATGCAGAGCTTCTTCTGGTTCAACACCAAGGACATCACCCTCAGTATCTGCCTTATCAGACTGCTGGCTCTAGCCAGGCATTTGGGACCTGCATCTCCCACAACAGCGCCATCCTGGTCTTATACAACCCCATTACTTTCTTGTGGGTAATACACAGGTTTGGTTGTCATGTTGTCCCTGATCTGCACATCCTGATGGCCAGCCCTATTGTGTATGATGTCAAAACAAAACAGATCTGTGACTGGGTGCTCACTGCATTTTTTTTGCAGAAGAAATTTTAAATTTCAGGTGGCATGTGGTGTCAGTCCAAATTCAGCAAGGGCTTCATACTGGTCAGAACCCCAGAATGATTTAGGGCTCTCAAAAAGTTCCTCCAGATACTTCTGTCCTGAACAGGCTCCAGTATCCCTCCCAGTGCTGTAGTGTATTGGGTTTACATGACAAGAGGTTGGTAGCAGGGGGGCTGCAGGGGTGGCCTCTGTGAGAAGAGCCCAGAAACTGCCCATGTCAGATCAGAGACAGCTCCATCTGGCTCCTAAGGGACCCACTGCTGGCCAGAGTCAAGCCATGAGCGACACTGGTGGGGCCTCTGAGGGAGCAGATTGAAGAAAGGAGGAAAAATAAAGTGAAACAAAAATCAGAAAACAATCAAACAAAACAAAACAAACAAACAAGAAAACCCGCTGTGCTACAGCAACTGGGAAAGAGGAGTGAGAAATGAGAGAGAAGCAGCCCTGCAGCCCCCAAGGTGAGTGCAGCAGGAGGCAGGAGGTGCTCCAGGCTCACAGCAGCAGTTCCCCTGCGGGCTGTGCAGGGAGAGGCCCCTGGTGGAGCAGGCTGTCCCCCTGCACCCATGGGTCCCCCATGGAGCAGATCTCCACGCTGCTGCCCCCCTGTGGGTGGAGGAGCCCCCGGTGGAGCAGGTGGATGGGGTCTGGGGGGAGCTGACGCCCACCCGTGGGGGCCCCGTGCTGGAGCAGTTTGGGACTGGGGGATGGACCCCGTGGGACGGAGCCGTGTGGGAGCAGTTCTTGGAGCCCCTGAAGGATCAGTTGGGGAAGGACGGCATCCATGGGAGGGACCCCACGGGGAGCAGGGGCACAGAGGGACCGTGAGGGGCGGCGGGGATGAAGCGTCAGGGACTGACCGCAGCCCCCATTGCCCGTTCCCCTGCACTGCTCAGGGGGAGGAGGTGGAAGAGGTGGAAGGGGGGAAGGTGTGCTTGGTTTGCTTTTAGTTTCTCACTGCTCTAGCTTGTTAGTAATAGCTAATATTAATCTTCCTACGCTGAGTCTGTTTTTCCTGTGACGATAACTGTTGAGTGATCTCACTGTTCTTATCTCCACCCTTTAGCTCTTTCCATTGTATTTTCTCCCTTTTTTGATTTGAGAAGGGGGAGTGAGAGAGCAGCTGTGGTGGAGTTCAGCTGCCCAGCAGGGTAAAACCATGACATATGGACACACACAGCCTCCTGAGGCATGGATAAGGTTCTTAAGGTATCCACTGTTACTTGCTTCACTCTGGTTTCAGCAGAGTGTGAACGCTGACACATCCTTGGATGATGCAGCATGGGGCCCAGGTGACTCATCTGCACTGTGCTGATCTGCACAAGCTGGACTTGGGTCTGCCTCAACCGTTTCATCATGGATAACACTGTCAAGGCTCAGGCTTTGGATCCCAAAGCAGAGAGGTAAAAGACAGACAGCATTGTGTTGTAAGAAAAGGTTAGTGAAAACTGTCCTTTCAGCAACCACACAGCTCAGGAAACAGCATTGTGGACCATGTACAACCTGTTCACAGAAACTTGTATGGATTTCCATGCAAC